AACACCACGCACACTCCCAGGAAACTTGGTCCAAAGGCCTGCCAGCAGCGGTGCGCACGATCACGGCGCGCTTCTGGATCTGATGAAAGTGGCTGGTCGGCGTGCCTTTGTGCGCTTGTACAATACGATTGGCGCGCCTCCAAGAAAGGACAGCGTTATTGCAGGCTCGGATAGGCTTGCGGCATACGTTGCAAGTCCAAACCACATCTTCTTGATTAGAACCAGATTGAGCGCCCCCACGAGAAGGCAGGGACTTGTCAACGGGTGTGGTCTTAGAAGTCGTAGAGGCGCAGTCCGCGAGGGCCAGTCTTGGCTTCTTGCTAGGCTTGGCGCTGGCCTTCCTACTGCGGACAGTCGGTGAGAGCCGGGCGTCTGGCAGTAGCCTCAGCGAGCCGCTTCCTGCTTGCTGTCGCCGATGCCTTGCCACTGACACACAGAGCCGCAGTCAGAGAGGCATGGGCGTCCTCCGCCTCTGAGGACGACGGTGTCGGGCTCGGCAGATGTGCCTCCAAGTGTTTCGTACCTTTGCTGGAACTCGCGCTCAACGGGGTCGAGGTGGCGATGAGTGCTTGTCGTCGTTCTTGTAGTGGAGAGCGAAGAAGCCCGCGGCGCCTTCAGGGTTGATAAGGCGCAGCTTGCCCTGAGCCATCCACGAAGGTCTAGCCCACGACACAAAGCCGTTATCTCCAGGACACCTCCCCAGCTGGCGTGTTGGGACTCCATGAGAAAGGTCTCCCAGTCGCAGGCGCGTTCGCGCCCGCTGCAGTTGTACTCGCCGCCTTCGCCACGCCTCCTTGAAGTCGGACTCAAACTCGAGCAGGCACTTGCCAACGTAGCGGCGTAGTTGTCTGTGATTGCGGGGTTTGCCTCCGAGGTTGATGGCACCGAGGGCACGGTATAGACAGTTGCCTCCGCCATCGTTGTCAATAGTATAGCGTTGGGCGCCCAATTGCCGGTGTCTTGGCGCTGGACGCCCTGCATAGCAAGAGCTTTGTTGTCACCAAGGGCAATGCGCTTCGTGCCCTTTTCGGTATCCAGCTGCACAGTGACGTTGTCAGCACGGTCGGGCTTCTGCTTGCGCGCCGGCCTGGTCTTAGCGCGCGTGCGCTGGTGCTGCAGGTAGTCGGCAAAGGTGGTCGCGCGCGGCTGCGTTAAGGGAACGTACGCGGTGGTGCGGCGGAGTTGGCGTACGAGCTCGACAGAACTGAGGGCATCTCATGGGTCCTATACACCGATGACGCAGAGGAAGCTGAGGAGTCGTTTGACTTCATCAATGCCACTAAGACAGATGATGAAGCAAACCACAGCCTCACTATACTCCTCGACGTTCCTCGGCGCCTACTACCTGAGTGGGCGAAAGGAGCGGAGTATCTTCCAGTGCCTGGTTACGCGGGAGGCAAGCTTGTCATGAGGAGTCTCCATGTTATTACTACAGGACCGTGCCCGGCCTCAATTGACAGCCGCTCAAAGACCGCGCTGGTGGTTGCTAAGCCGCCCTCCCCGTTGCAGACCTAGCGAGCAAACACCTACTTGGCAAGACTCACACTCGAGTACGCGTATGGGCCCGATCGCTGGAATCAGGTCCTCAAGGAGCCGGGCAAGCATGCAAGATTGTGGGCGGGCCAGATTGGAGTTGGCCAGCTTTCCATCCTTGATGCCTTCGCATCCAGCGCGCAGCGGACGTCAGGAAACTTTGGCTGCGCTCAGGAGCCAAAGCGGGAGGCCTCGTCTACTTTGCCGACGTTATCGGAGAGAACAGGGGCGACATTCTCAAGGAGGACATTGGCATCAACTGGGTGGCATGGCACGAGAGCGAGAGCTACGAGGAGTACCACGCCAGAGTGCTTCAAGAGTCAAAACTTGGAGCAGTGTTGGGCCGTGGCTTGGGCCTGCGACTTCGCACCGTTGATCCGGACTACAAGCAACCACCCACAACATGGCGGGCTAAGAGCGTGCCACTCAACTACCAGTTTTGCCACCTGCAATGTGTACTTTCAGACCTGGGTTTGTCTCTCGCCCGGGGCTTCTTCTTCCGAGGCTGGTCACTGAGTTAGATCTGTCGCGCAGCTTGTGATGCCGATGGGGTAGAGGAAGGGTGCAAGCTCTCTTCCAATGACGGCCACGTGAGGTCCCATCATCCCATCGTTTAGCGTCATGGACGCTGTTGTGGGTGTCAGTGGGCCACGCTGCGGCCTTCCAAGATTTGGATGGACTCCATGTCTCGTGCATTGCTGGGGTCGCCATAGGCCAAGTAGAAGCTGAACTTGTCCAATCCTCCTCCGGGTCTTGTAGCGCACGTCCCCAAGGCAAAGTTGGGTCGTTGTAGGTGTCCGGGTTCCAAGTGGTAGTGTGCCAAAGTCCACCACAAGAACGATCGTTGTCATAGGAGTGCTGGTGTTCCGGCCACCGTGCGGTAGTGGTAGCTGTTGGCGACGTCCAAGTAGCTTGTGCGTGACCCCATTGTGCCATGAACTCCTCAATGGCGCTCTTGATCAAAGTCTTGACCTCCCCCCTGGTGATTGGGCCGCGGCTTCGTCGTCTGCGCTGAGCGGCCCTCAGTGCACCTGGCCCGGGGTGGGAAGCTTCCCCTATTCGTTTCGCCGCCATGGGGTCGAGACGGTAGCTGTCAACACTCATGCTGAGGCCGTCGGATAACCGCCTCCGAGAACAAAACCGCAAAGATGCCCATCAGCTCCTGTAATGTTGTTGTGACAGATGCGCCTGGCCACGATCTGATGGGTGACAAAGCCAAGAAGAAACATGCCAAGTACCATGAGACCGAATGGTATTGTGCGTCTTGGTCGCCGTGGGGCCGGCGGAGTAGCTACCACTTCGCTGGCAAGAAGGCGCCCATGACGGCTACGAGGGCCGCCGTGCAGCAAAAGTGGATCAGCTGGTTGAAGGTCACCACTTCCTCGTTCATAGCGCGGCGTGCTGCACGTAGCTTTCGCGTGGTAGTGTCGCCCTGGATGGGTGCCGAGATCGCCTGGTAGTAGAGGTGGATCAGAGTGACAAAGGCCGTGACCACCATGTTCAAAGTGAGGATTTGTGCGCAGGGCCGTGCAAGTAGAAAGCGGCGTGCCCGCAGGAGTCCTTGCACGGAATTGCCCCTGTTGACTACAAGGGTCGCCATGGAGTGTGAGGGGATCATCTGGACAAAGGCCGCGATGTCCATCTTGACAGTGCGGATTTTCGACCATTGCCTGGTGACCTGTGTTCGAGGGGCTCTAAGTAGTCCGCGGCAATTAAGTAGTGCACGCCAGATGGTGCCCTTGCGAAATCAGTGCGTCCGTCTCCTGCTCCATGTGTACCTCCTGCCTCGAATGTATCGGGCCTCGAAGGCACAGACTGCTGCAAGCACGCGGCGCAATGAAGATGCTGATGTCCGTGATGGCCTGGTCGCTGCAGTTTTCCCCAGCCGTAGTCGCCCTCCAAGTCGACGAAAACGTTGCCGGAGTCCACGTAGTTGACGAAGCCTGTGTCTAGTGCAAGTTGTTCTGCATTGTCCGGGTGGTCGTTCAGGGGGCCAGCGTTCAGGGGGCCGGCGAAAAGCAAAGTAGAAGATGATATCAGTGACCTCACCGAGGATCGTGAGGACAACCATGATGCAAAAGATAGGTGGGGGTTCCCACCTTGGGCTGCCAGTAGGCCTCGCACAAACTGCATCCCGAGTTCCCCAATGAACTTCCAGATGGTTTTGTGGTTGAGGACCTTGTGATAGATGAAAAGGATCTCCTCCTCGCCCCCGGAATGGAGTTCCCTCTCGCACTTGCTGGAACCCTTCGCACCTGGCTCTGCACATGCCAGGCCCCGCCATCACCGTGCCCGTCGCGGGGCTGGAGGTGGATTCACGATGGCTCCGACAATTGGGAATCATGCAAAGAGAGGTTTTTGCAACAGGCTCAAAAAGTCGGGAAGAATGTTCTGTTCTGTCAAGTGAAACAACACGTGTCTTTGTGAAATCTTGATATGATGCTCTTCACCACCTCTGTGGCCATATGCAAGCATGGTAGGCTTAATGCTGGCAGTTTTCCTACACACCCCTCGTCATCGTCCTGCCGACTGAGAGCCCAAGCGCTAGCCGCTAGCATTTCCTTTACAATAATTGTCGAATCTTTTGTAGATTTGCTCCGCCAAGTTTGGCCGCTGAAAAAAAAAGCTGTCCCCTTAGGAATGCTCCAATCAGAGAAAATACAGGATTTGAGAGGGTTGGCTTTGAGGGGATTTGAAGGCCAAGCCCCACTTGCGCAATGTGTCCCGATTGCTGCACGTGTTCCCCTTTACTTAGACTTGACTGTCTGCCTTGATGGCTTGCCCATGCCCCGCTTGCCTCTCTCGTCCCATGTCCTAGTCGTCCCAACTCCCTCCCGCATGCCGTACTGCCTTCTGCTAACTGCACTTTGCTCCTCTTGTGAGGTGGGTGGTGTGATTCAGGGACTGGGGCAAGTGTGGTAACTGTGGTGAGCAAGGTGAGCGGGCAAGCGGAGCATGCGAGGCAAGTGTGGGGCAAGTGTTGCAAGAGGGACCAACCGAGCAAGTGGGGCCGGCCGGGCAAGTGCAGCGTGGTTCAAGCTGCCCCCCAGCGGTCAATCACCTATTCCGTCAGCGTGACTTCAATCGCTGCACACCATGTGCGTATGCCCCGAAATCCACAACTGCACCTTCAAAAAAAGTTCTTCTAACCGACCTGCAACATGCCCTGACAACCCGCAAACCATGATCACGCTACAACAAATGAACAATGACTGCAATAGTCACTGCTGAATTCAAATCTGTGTCTTCACGTTGCCCCAGAAAATGACAGTAATCACCAAACCACACAGCGAGTACATGCTGTGTTCATCTCCTGCGCCCCGGATGATTATGTCAATACCAAATGCCTAGCCCATTTGGTGCCTAGCCCAGCACCACCGAATCAAGTCCCGCTACATAAGAACACCTTCCTCGTCAAGGAGAAGACCTTCAAAACAAATCCCCAATTCGAGCTGAGGCAAAGTGGCACCACCGCCGAGATTGCCCCATCCAGCTGCCGTGGCATTCGCAGTGCCGATCACATTGGGGGCAAACATCAGGGAGCACCAGAACTGGTTGGTGACGAACCTCCGCACTCGCATCGAATTCAGATTTGCAAATACACGCGAGGAAGTGTGAACGACAAGAGGTTGCCAAAGTACATGGTCAATATTTTTCTTGATTATTCCTATTCTTCAACCACACCTCAACCTGAATGCCCTAACCAAGACGCTCCCAGCTGAAGTGCGCTAATCCCAACAAGCAGCACGGAGATGTCCAGCGGGTTTTTGAGTGAGGTCGGGGATTCTGAGCCTTTGGGGTTCAGGAGCCCTACTCACGATCCTCAACATTGTACAAGTCCAAGGCTGGGCCCATTGTTGCGGCCAAGATTGGGGATTAGTTTAGGGTTTAGGGTTCAGGACAGCAAGTGGGGCACCCCAAACACCATGAATACCAGGTGGCGTGGCACCAGCGCAGCCGATGAAAAAGCCTTGTTGCGGCTGGGCTACACTCACAAGATACAAAGCAGGAAGAACAAAAACAAACATCCAAACAATCTTCCGGTGCATGTTCAGTTTACTCGTCGTACCATCAAAGTGAAAACACGCTGAACCCCAAACCTTCTTGGATATGTTGGCTTGTGCAGTGTTGTTGGGTTTGTGGTATCAGCTCAAGTGTTCTCGTATGTGGCTCGAGAAACGTAAAAGAGATCATTAGGGAAAACTGAAACCAGTCAAAAGCTAGGGATGCGAGCGCCTGACGTCTTCTTGCATAGCAAGAGACGGATCATCGTGTAGTTCCATGGAGCACTGATGCCTGCTGCCGCGGCCACCCAAATCGCTCCGAAGGTTAGTAGTCCTGACAAGAGAGGGTGCTGATAGGTTTCAACCTGACACGGGGCTGAACAACCTCCAATCGTAAGATAAGCAGGCATGTTTCGTGAGGTTCCAGACATGCCCTGCCCACGTCCCTCCTGACACTGTTGAGGTGCTGTTGCGGCTGTAGCCTAATGCAGGGTAACAGCCAGGCCTCACGCCTCAACACTTGCAAGAGAAGAAGCATGTCGGTCCTGACTGCACATTCACCTCAGCATACATGAAACAATCAACTAGTACACGTCGCAATGCAATATTAAGCTCTTGCACCTCAAGCTGTACCTGCATGAACCTTTTCTCCTGGGCCGTTCTCCCCTTCATGCCCTCAGCATCTGCAAATCCAGCACAACTACACCTCAAAATCTACACCCCGAAAACCATATTGGCACCTCAACGGCGCAAACTCAAGCTCCCGTCTCACCATGTTCAACCTGCGACACGCACCTACAAAGGGTATTCTTTTAGTGGAACCCACTGATCATGGACGGGGGGGTCAGGCAAATGACTATCAAATTTTGTGCCCTCTCCATGTTCTTGATCTACTACTAGTGGTGGAGGAAATGTGCGTAACATGCTCAAATACCCAAAAGCACCGTTTCCCACTGCATCGCGGAACTGATCACCTGACACCCAAGCTTTTGCTCAGCGACAGGGCCCAATCGCTCCAGAAGCGTGCCTGACAGTTGTCTGCATTTTGGGCCGGGTTTTGGGTGTAGCGTGTAGGGTTCAAAGGTCCAGATTTACAGCCAAGGCGTGCACCAAGCCCACCTTAACACTAGCTGACTAGCTTTTGCGCAGCTCTCGGCTTACAGTTGGGACGGACTTGCTTTGAATATTGAAAGCCTAAAAACTGTACATGGATCCAACTGTGCATGCTCCATGCAAGGCGGAAGAATGACTACTTACCAATGATTCGCCGAAAAAAGGTTGAAACTTCAACAGCACCAACAAGAAGTGTTGAACACCGATGCCTTGTCCCATCAGTTTTCTGACGGAATGGGACTCACAGAAACACTGAAGACCATTTCGAACCAAGTGTCCCAAGGCAATCCGCACAAAAATGGTGCTCGCAACCGCCGCGACGCCAGCGTTTGCAATCATGCCGTTGCCTTGGCGAAGCCCGCAGTCCGTTGAACAATCCCCTTGAAGCTAGACCCGGTCGCTTAAAAAGCGCAAAATACTGGGATTCGATCGAACCTTGCTTGTGACTTGCCATTGTCCCTTTACAGCCTGTCATGCTGCAGCCATCAGCCACTTGCCATACACTGGCATTAATATGTAATCTAACCCTCCCGAGAAAAAATCTCTGCCGCACTCTGGGACAAGATGAATACTGATGAAGGGATGCTGATGGCGCATAACCCCTTTTTGCCCTGGTTCAACCAGTACTTTGTGGGGTTTTCAGGGATTTAGATGTTGTAACCTCTACCCTGTCTTGAACCCCGGTGAAAAACCAAATGGTGTATGGGTTGGAGGGTTCAAGATTGAGAACTCTGGGTTCTATGGCGCCACACATAGGCGTTGCACTTTGGCTGAATCGTGATTGAACCATAACCCAACTTAATCTGATACTCTACTCCCTACTGCGGTCCAGCCGCACTCGGTGCCAGCAGTGCAAACGCAACTGACGAGAACTTCTGGCCTCCGGCAGCCACACCCTTTGTTCACTTTGAGATTCATGGTTTGGGGTCAAAAAGTCTATGGGGAAAGCAGATAATCCGTAGAGTGCAATGTGCAGAAAGCACAGATGAATTTCATTTTGTTCACGACTCCATGCCCCACAGCGCACCCTTTCCTATATAATACCCCCCTTGAAGGTATTTAGAATATAGCTCATATTATACTATATTGGTGTAAAATACCCTATAATATACCATAATAAACTATATTCTACTATAGTATACCATAATATCCAGCTGGCCAGGTCACGGGGCTTAGGCCTCGTGGCCTACCGGGTCGCTGTTAAGGAATTTAAACTACCCATATAGGGTGTAGGGCTTACGGTTTAAGATTTAGTGTTTAGATCCCGTTTAAGAAAACCAGGGGTTTTCTACAATTATGCCCATCTGCATCTTAATCTAAGTTCCTTAAGAGCAAGCCGGCTTAGGGTCTACCTAGGGTTTAGAGCAAAGGGCTTAGTGGACCCAATGGGTGCCACAACCGATGAGAACCGCTTGAACTCCAGACCGCTGACGCTGACATCTCACACTACTGGGGAACGTTGACACCCTAAACCCTAAACCCCTCCCTACTTACAAAGCACTTGAAAAGTCCGGCCCTCCATCCTGCATTCCAACCATTCTTCCCCAAGAAAAGACAACCAGCCAGTATATAACCCCAATATACTGTAGTAGTTTCCATTCTCTTTTCCATTATCCCTATATAACCCCAATATACCATAGTAGTTTCCATCTTCAAACTGCACCGGCACCTATACTTCGTGACGCCGCTTGCAATTTCTGTGGCCGTCGGGTCCACGCCTGGGATTGTGCTTGCTGCCTAAAGACTTAAAGAATTGCTTTAGATGAGCAATTCCCAAGTGAACACTCGGTGTGCAAGCTTCTGCGGTTTAGGATTGAAATCAGGGCTCAAAGTTCAAGATGTGACCTTAGCAGCCTTAGCAGTTTTAGAACAAGATCCTACGCGTGCAAGCTCAGAGTCGTACATGAAGGTTTGGGGGAACGTAGCTAGCTGACTACAAACAAGGCACCAAGAGACGCAAACATAAATTGGTAACCGTAAACTGGTTTGTACCCACCTGCTAAGTTGACTGAGCCTTGAGCCATTCAAGCACTTCTAAGAAACAGGGAAACCGCCATATCTCGCAAATCACGGCAGCGCTTGTTATGGGGACTCCCAAGAAAACCTGAATTGAGGCGCGCTAAACATCGTGAACCTTTGCAGGAAGGAAGACCCCAAGATGGTCCAGAGGCAGCGGAATGGATGCTCGGAGCTGTCGATCCAACATCTCAAGAAGACTCGTAAATGGCTCTGGGCTTTAATTCTACTCTGGAACCTACTCGTCCCCAGCTCGGACAAAAGAGTCTGGGCTACTTCGCAAGCATAAACCGTCGAGCAATGAGTGAACCCACCTACACTCCCAACCCTTGATGAAATCTACCCGAAGCAAAGACGATTAAAAGCTGAATCTGCTTCAAGCCTGAAGTGTACACTGGGTTTCTGTTATCGAAGTGAAGTGAAGTTACCATGCTATGAGCACATGGCAAACCACATGGCTTCCTGGTAAGGGTGTCTTTCTCAAGTCCCTGCAAAGGAACCCTGTAAACCCAGACCAACCCAAAGCCGCAGTTCCGAGTCCTAAAGTCCCCCTCAAGTAGATAGAATACAGGGTTTAGGGTTCAGAGTTTAGGATTTAGGGGTTTTTTTTTGTCGGACCTTTTCTCCCCGGCTGATCCCAGGATTTAGGGTTTAGGATTTAGGGTTTAGGGTTTAGGGTATAGTCCCCCTTAAGTAGATAGAATATGGGACATATGTGAATCTTATTATAATATACCCAAAGCCGTATCCTATCTAGTTAAGGGGGACTATAAGCTTGCGCCGAGCCGCAATCAGTTGGGTTGCCGTCTGCATCCTTGACCTTTGGGACTTTCTGATGCGGCTTTTCAAGCACGTCATAGGTGTTGGCTTTTGATGTTTAAAGGCCCAGCGTTTCGGCTATAGTCCAAACTCATAGTATCCCCCTGAATAGCCTCCATAATGCTCCCCTATACAATCTCTATCAAGCCCCCTTGAGGAGTTTAGACCCTAAACCCTACATAATCTCCCTTATATAGCCCCCCTTTAAGGAGATTTGAGACTATAGCGCATTTAAGGCTGGAAGTGTTCAAAGCTCCAGCTTCAGGGCTGGGAAGGCAGGGAATGAATATGAAGAAGAATACATGTCTAAACTACTTAAAGGGGGATGCTTTATACAAGGGAAGTTACATAGCGTTTCGGGTCTACGGTCGGATGCGGCTATGGCAGCTATGGCGAAAGCCCAGACTTCGAGCTACCTACCTGAGCTTACCTTGCGCGGTCCACTTGCATTAGATCCCTGAAGGCCCTTGAGGCCAAGTGTCCCAAGCCCCCACATCCAGGCCCGTCTGAAACCCAAAGCAAAACTGAAACCCTGAGCCTTACGTCATGAAACTTAAGCACGCACCTCTGGACAATGGGCAATTGGGAATATTGCGCATTTCGAAAATAGGCATGTCGTTTCCCCCCTCCCTTGTTCACTATCTGTATATTGAGAAAGGCACCACAACTGAGGTCACACACAACAACGGTGAATGCAAAGACCTCAAGCCTAAACCCAAACTAAACGTGCAGCAACCCATTGCAAGCTACAGAAACCAACAACCCATAACCCTAATAACCCTTCATAACCTAATATCTAACCCCAATTGTAGCCCCTGATATTACCCCAATGGTATCTAGATTTCTCCAAAGCAAAGGTCGGACCTGGCCTGGCCCTTCGTGCAGTATGTCAGGCCCGAGGCCAGGTTCGTGAACTTCAAGTATGCCTTCCTTCCAAGGCGTTTACAGAGGTTAAGGCTTTAGGGTTTAGGGTTTAAGGTTTAGGATCTAAGGGTTTAGGGTTTAAGGGTTTAAGGTTTAGGCTTTAAGGGTTTAGGGTGTATGCCTTCACTTCCTTCCGTGGGGATTCACGCAGTTTAGGGTTTAGGGCTCCATCGGGATTCAACTTTGGGATTCAGCTTAAGGGTTCCATTGGGACTCAACATGTGGATTCTATAGGGTCTGGGCTCCATTGCGATTCAACATTGCAATTCCATAGAGTTTGGGGCTCCATTGGGATTCCAGATTGGCTGCAAGCGTCGTCGTCCGCGTCTCTGCCAAGAAGTAGACTGTAATTTTGCAAATCGATAGTGTCTATACACAACAATTCGGAGAGTTCCCCATGTTGTGGAAACCATGAAGCAATGCAACGCAACAAGCTGGGCACACGAGCCTCGTTGGATGGGTCGCCGTTGGGTACAGCTGGTTCTCGCACATGCCCATGCTGGTTGCTACCTGCGGTAATTTGCTCAAGCAGTCTTACGGCCGCCGAACAAGGAGCTTGACCCTTCGCTCCCATGATTTGGCCTGCACTTTCACGACAAAACTTTAGAACACACGCAAACTCATCAGGTCGCAAAGATTATGTTGCATTTGGTTCCCTATATACTCTAGCTACCTAAGGCAATCATCAAGGGTCAGCTACA